GTTCAGGAGGAAAGCCCAAATTGTTGTGCTGGGAGTTCTCACAAACCCAGAAAAGGCCCTTTGGCCCAAGGCCCAGCCCCAGGCCCCGAGGTGACAGTGTGGTGACTGTCCTGCAGTGGCACCCCACCCTCTGAACCGGTTCAGCAGCACTTCTTGAGGTACTCCCAACTGGAATAAACCTTCCTTCCTAGGGATCCCATATGCCCCTAAATGAAGTGGGAAGATTCAAGATGGCCCAGAAGCGGCTCTGTGGTGGTTAAGGGCTGTTTTGAAGGAGCAGGGCTGCAAGGCTTTGCTTGTTTTAAGGAACTTTACCCAACTTCATTGTGAAATGTCTTCCCATAAAAGTTGGGGTCTCAAACTCATCCCACATAGGGTCTAGATCTTGTCTTTGAACTATAAAGCCACCTTTTAGAGAGAGCCCTCTCTCTTCTACAGCAAATACAGATCACAGAATCCTGGAATGAGTTGGGTTGGAAGGGACCTTAAAGATCATCTCGTACCAATCCCCTGCCATGGGCAGGGACACCTTCCACTAGACCAGGTTGCACCACGCCCCATCCAACCCAGCCCTGAACACTTCCAGGGGTGGGGCAGCCACAGCTTTTCTGGGCAAACACTGGAGACCTGTCATTCTTAACTGTGTAGGCAGCATTTTCTTGGGTAGGATTGCAAAGGGAGGATTTAAATTAACCCTTTTAGTTACTCTTTAGTGCAGTGTTTTAAAAGTTCATATAGAAGGATACTGATGGATATAACATACATTTCTTCCCCCTAGTTGTGTCAGCTTTGGCTGATGAATTTAAGACTGAGCTCAGCTTGGCAAACGGCCCTCCTCTGATCAAGCCAGTTTATTCCAAAGTTGGTCTGCAGTGTGCAGCTGAACTCCAAGAACATCTCTATCCAGGTCTGGTATTTGTTCTGGTTTTCTTTTTCAATTTAAGCTTTTATTTGACAGACCTTCAAGGAAGATAGCATAATCTAAATATCAGATTTTAGGCAAAGCACTATTAGGGTGATTTTAAAAGGTGCAGTGGCTCCAAAAATGTTTATTTCCCTGATTCTTCAGATGCTTTGATATCTTCTCCCATTTTTGTCACTAAGTACAATCCATAATGCACACAGTTACTGAGAATACACCTGGATTCTGAGGGCTTTGTGCACTGTCTGACAACTGTTATGCTCAAAAGTCTTCTCAGAGAAAAAAGAGAGACAGAACAATTTATTTGGAGCATAACTGAAATCTAGTTAATAATTCTCTTTGATGACCTCATGGTGTAACATCTCCCCTAGTAACTGCTGTCTTGAGTAAATTATTTGCTGTGTTTTGCTTTTCTAATTTTTGATTACTTTTTTTTTTTCTAGTGGGTTCTAATGAAATCAAATGGAAGCCAGAAACCATCTGCACTGACCTGTTCTCAGAGTACCCTGGATTAGAGGATTTAATGAGAAAACAACTCCGTGGAGTTACCCAGGGGGTACTGATATTTTCAAGGAGTTGGGCTGTTGACATTGGCTTGCAGAAAAACCAGGATGTTGTGTGTGATGCTCTCTTAGTAGCTGACAGTGAGTATCCAGTGTTGTTTACTGTGGTCAGGAATGCCTCTTGTGTCACATATGGAACCTGGAGAGAAACTGCTCGTGCCTTAAAGCAAAAACTAGTCAATGATGGGGGATATACTTCAAGAGTGTGTGTGATTCCCCAGATCCTGCAGCTGAATGACACAGAGGACCAGACAACAGTTGAAGAGAATGAGGTTCCCCGGCAAGAAACCCTGCATGATTCCACCAGCCCTTACCCAAGGAGTTACATCCTCACCTCCAGGGACATCCCTGCCTTCCTGCGGGCACTTGTGATTGTTGTGCTGGGCTTTAAGTCCTACTTAAGTGACCATCTTGGCTGTGAGATTTTCAACCTTCTCACTCTCAAACAGTATGAGCTGCTCTCCAAGAACCTGCACAAAGTCAGGAAGCTGTTTGTCCTTGGTCTTCCTGGGACAGGAAAAACAATCGTTGCTTTGAAGATCATTGAGAAAATAAAAAACGCTTTTCACTGTTCTGCAGATGAGATACTTTATATTTGTGAAAATCAACCCTTGAGGGATTTTGTAAGGTAAGTAGTAATGTGTATTTCCTCTTTGTATTATCTCATTCCATCTTCTGTGCCTACAGCACAAGCCCTGCTGAATGTACCTCTCTTTGACAAATTTATAGCTTTGCCTGACACAAAGACACAACCTTCATCTCCAGGAAGGAGTTCACACTGAAAGCGGGATTGAGCTGAGCTCTGGCCCAGATCCAGCACTCAGTGACTGCAGTGAGCGTTCCATGTTTGGGATTGCAGGATTGTGTTAGAGCTTCCAAAGACAGTGCCCTCAGTGTAAGGGTCTGTTACCGCTGGTGCCAACCTCAAAAGTGCCCCTGGCCCTTTCTCTGCTGCTGCCTCAGCACTGCCTGTGCTGGGCCTGCTGAGGGCTCTTGTGCAGCTGTGCCAGGAAGAGCCCTTGGAGCTTGTAACAAGAACAGAAACTAACATCCTGCTGGGTGAGGATTTGAGGCAGAGCAGTCCCCCAGCTCTGTTCTTGCTGCATTTCCTGCTGTGCCAGCACGGGGAGCTCAGCAGCCTCCGCGGCAGACAAGGCCCATGACATCAGGGAATTGCAGCCCTGCTCAGTGCCCCGGCAGCAGGTCCTGGCCCCAGCAGGCAGCAGAAGTGCTGCCAGTCCCTGCTGACCCCGGGAGAAAAGGGAACCTGTCCTTCCTGCAGGAGCCCGGGCACCACAGGAGAGCAGGGCAGAGGGACACCCTGGGGAGCCTTCCCATGGGGGCCGTGGAGGCAGGTGGGCCTGAGCCTCCTCCTGGGGCACATCCAAAGGTGGTGGTGGCTGCTCAGCAATGCCTACACACAGCCAATGCCTTGGAATCAATGTTTCCATGGGGAAAATGACACAGCATGGTGCAGCTGAGATGGGCACTTTGGCATTGTCCAGCAGGATGAGCCCTCCAAGCAAGAACCCCCAGAGAGATGGAGGCAGTCAGTAAGGGCTGGTCACATCTGCTGTTTATTTAACATATTCTTTTTTTGGGTCTGTGTTTCATTTTTTGAAGAAATAAGGACTGCCAGGCTGTGACACGTGCTACCTTCCTGAAAAAGAACTTCCCATCCGTGAAACACATCGTGGTTGATGAAGCTCAGAATTTTCGTCGTGATGAAGGAGATTGGTACCAACGCGCCTGGTCAATAGTCAAGAGAAGTGGTGGCATTTTCTGGGTCTTTGTGGATTTCTTCCAGACCACTTATCCATGTAACTGTGGTCTTGACTTTTCAAAAATGGATCCTCAGGAATGGCTGACCAAAATGGTCCGGAATGGCAAGGAAATATGTCATTTCATGTTAAATTGCATGGGGGAAATCCTCCAAACACGTATCAGAGGTATGCCCTGTGAACTGCTGGGAGAGTTGCTGAAAGAGGCTGAATGTGCCCATTCTTTGCCTGGTTGCTTCGTTAGAGAACAAAATATAAGATCAGATGAATTGGCAAAGTACGTGGCCAAGCACTGCAAGAGGTACCTCAAGCAAGGCTATCCCCTCGGAGATATCGCCATCCTGTGCAGCACACAGCCTGCAGCTGAGCAGTTCAGACTGGAACTGCAACCTGAGCTAGAAAGACAACTAAGCAAGCACAGGGTGAGGGGGGCCTTGGGGTTGGCAGAGGGTGTTTCGAAAAATGTCATTGTTCTTGACAGCATCCGACGCTTCTCAGGCCTAGAAAGGACGATTGTCTTTGTCATCCACCCTTACACTGCACAAGGGCAGATATTTGACAATCTTGTGCTCTGCGCAGTGTCCAGAGCCAACACCAAAGTCCATTTGTTTTATTAGAAGGAAAGATATTTTTAAGAGGATAGTTCCTATGGCTCTAGGCGCTGGAAAGTTTCACTCATTTAGTGCGATATCAGTGACATCAGAGAGCAGCCTTGCAGAAACACAGTATCACAATCAGCGACTGCAATGGGTCACCAAGATTTCCTCATTCTAACAGGACTCCTGAAGGGTTCAAGTCCACCAGCTGCTGCAACAGAGTGTGTTGTTGACAGCCCAGTTCTTACTGTCATGACAAATGTGACATCAGCAGTGTGGCTCCTCAAACTCTGATTGGTAAAACCTTGTTGAGAATCTACCACCTAATTACATCTTTTCTTCCTGTCTCAGTTTCCAACTGTTGCCGCAGCTTTGCTGATGTCTGTCTGTAAAGTGGTGACTATAATTGCCTACTCTGATATTAGATTTCTTACAGCTGGATAAATAGTGACATGATAATGTCATATTTGTCCAGGGTAAAAAAAAATAAAAATTGATGGAGGCTTTTGTACAATTTTCAGCTTTCTGTTTCTCTGTAATAAAAGGCTTTTTCTGACTTTGAGATCTCTTGTATTTATGTGGCCAGCGTTCCAGATCAGAAAATGGGAGGGCCTTGCAAGGGCCAGTGTTCCTGGACTAATAGGAATTTCCAAGGAATTGGAAAGAAATTTCCAGTGCAGCCAAAGGTCTGAGGAGAAGGAAGACCTAAACCCTGCCAAGGCACCGAGGCAGTCGGTGCCAGTTTCAGGTGACACGTGTCACGGCAGCCCTTCGGCGCACTCAGGTAAAGAAAGGTGCCCTCCTGCAGTGTTTAAACTTGTCTTAAGGAAAACATTCCTGGAGTGGAGTAGCAGTGAGGGAGCAGCCGGGGACGCTGCATAGCTCGGAGGGGCCGCCCCGGGCTCCTCTGCCCGGCCCGTCCCGACACCGGCCTCGGAGGCGGGCGGGGAGGGGAGGCGGGGGACCCCGAGCGGGTGCTGACCGACCTTCCCGGGGGACGGGGGCTCCGGGCCGGCTCCGTGGGCTCGGGGATGGAAAGCCCTGCGGACAAAGTAAGTCTGGGCACAGTCCCATCTAGCGGCGACTTCCACTTCCCTGCTCTTCTCTCCCCGCCCCGCACACAGCGCACTCTGCATCCGTATTTCAAATAGTTTAATTTTAAAAATATTCTATTCAGTGCTAAAATAACTTTCCACTTCCACGCGCGGCCGCGCCTTCGGCTTCGCCAGGCTGGATCACAGACTCGGCGGGACATGCAGTGGCGGCGGGGGGAGAGCGGGACTGGGGGGCAGCGGGGTTTGGGGGGAGCAGAGCCCCGGGCCGGGAGTGCTTCCCGGGGGCTCCGGCACCTGCCGCGCGTCCTTCCCCGTGCCGGGGACGGCGGGTACGAGGGGCAGGGACCCCCAGCACAGGGCAGCGGCTCCCCATACTCTGCCGGCTCCCGGGGGGCAGAGCCGAGGCCGGCCAGTACCTGCCCTCCGGGAGGGGAAAGCGCTCCCCTCTCTCCCAACACCAATGGCTTAAACCAGCAGCTTATTGCACAGCGTCCCAGCGGGTCCCTGCCGCCCTCCCCCCACCGCCCCCCACCCCCAGCACCGCCTGTGCCCACCACAGAGTGGAAACATCACCTGGAGCAGGCGGGAGGCGGCTCTCCCGTTCCCAGTGCCCAGGGAAGGGCAGGCAGGGCAGCCACGAGCAGGCAAACAGCATCTGCCAGACCACGGGAGAGCAGGGAGCCCCATGGAGAACCCCCCACCCCACGCGTGCAGCCCACCCAGCGGAGCCCCACAGCTCGAGGGCACGGAGCAGGGAGAGAGGGAGCCAATAAATAGAGGCAGATTCGCAGGTACTGGTGGCGGCCCCGTCTGTCGGACAGGGCAGGGCAGGGCAGGGCAGGGCGGGCACGATGCGAGTGGTGGGAGCCCCGATGCTGGGGAAGGGGCAGGCTGGGGGGAAGCGCCGGTGCCGGGGGCCAGGCAGCTCTGCGAGGGGCTGGCGAGGGTGCCGGGCCGGGCAGGCTCAGCTCTCCGAGGCCGTGTGGCACACAGAGTTCTGGTCGGCACAAAATCTCTTCAGAGGCGGCGCACCGGAGTCCTCCTCCTCTTCAGTTACCTGCAAGAGTCAGAGGTCACAGGCAGTGACACTGAGCCACGCACAGCCAGACAAGGCTCTGTCACACCCTGGGGACAACCCGGGCTGTCACCTGTATGCAAACCCCAGGGCACCAGCAATGGGAACCCACTCCAGCCCTGAAGCCCACCACAATCGTCGTTTTCCCAAACCCCAACATCCTTCCCTAAACCTTCCCATCCACACTTCAAGGCCTGATGTGAACCAGGGGACAGCTCAGGAAGCCAGAAGATTTGGGGACTCCCTGGGGGGCACTTTGGGACTGCAGAGAAAGTCCATCCATCCAGATGTTTCTGGTGCAGGGAGCAGCAATGAGGGTGAAAGGGCCACGATGGGGCCTTGTACATTTAGAGGTGGTTTCGATGCCCTTCCCTTACCTGAGTCTCAAGGGGGACTGGCTCTTCCTTTGTGAGAGTGGGAGGCTCGTCTGCCACTTCCGAGGAAGGCAGGGAGGGCTCTGGGGAGAACAGGACAGTTCACAGCAATGCAGACCCAGCACCCAGCTTAGTGCTGAGCCAGGACAGGACTTTCAGCAGAAGACACAAGTCCCCACTGCCCTGTCCACTTCCAGCAGTGCCTCGGCCACACACTGGACCACCAATGGCTCCAATGTGGTCTTCCCCAGGCCCTGCCATTCCCCTGCTCCCTTCCCAGCCCAGCACCCACCTTCCAGGGTCTCCTGCCCCAGGGTGGGGGGCTGTGAGTCATCCGTGCGGAAGTCAGACGTGTGGGCAGGACTCATGGACTCACTCTGCTGGGGACTGGGGCTGGAGTTGGGGCTGCTGTCCACCTTGAGCTGGTACACGTCAGACAGGGAGCTCTGGTTGCTGTTCTCATCTGCAGAAACAGCACCTGGTGAAGGAGAGCACCTTGACCCGGGGGAACGGGCAGCCGAGTGCGGCACTGTGAGCCGGGGTCTCGCCGAGAAAGGCAGAGCACTGTCAGAGGAGTGGAATGGGGGATTCACTGTCCCCTGTCAGCACAAGGGCTGCTGGGCACAGGGTTGTGCACCAGGACACCAGGGGCATCACAGACACAACTGGCCAGGGGAGAGGGAACAAGTCTGAGCAGACAGACCCCAGGGTGTGCAAAAAAGCAGGAGGCAAAGGGGCTGCACTCCCAAATCTCACAACTGCAGCCCTTGAGGGCCCCGGGCCTCTGAGGGCAGGAACTTCCTGCTTGTGTTACCAGGGTTTTGTTCCTCCTCTGTTTGTGATGCAGAACCAGCAGCGACACTCAGCACCTGCCTCCGAATGGGGAGGCAGGCCTGGCACACACCTTCCCAAACTGCACACCTGCAGTACAACCTCACTGCATGACCTGGAAGGGCCAGCACATTCCCTGGTTTTCCTTAGCCACACCAGGAGCCCAGAGAAGAGGCTGGGCACAGGCCAGCAGCAACTCCGGCACTGCCAGATCCTTGTCTGGCTGCACCACAGCACTTTGACCAAGAGCCAGGCCAGGGACATCCTCTGTCCCTTCATCCCAAGGTCCAGGGAAGTCACTGCTGGAAGGAGCGGGCTTGGCTGCAGGCATGCCTCTGCCCAGCAGTGAGTGGAAAGGGGGAACAGGAACCCCCAGTCCTCCAGTTCCACGTGACGGTTCCCACCGGAAGATCCCAGAAACAGTTGATTAAGATTCCTTCTGACAGCAAACCCAAATAGTTTGGACAGGGACAGTCCAGAAGTAGATCAGCACAACCCCACACTGGAGAAGGACACTGCTCTTCCCCATCCAGACAGCACACACAGAACTGGCAATGTTCAGCCTTGGAGTCTTTCCCCAGGTCAGAGG